GCTGTCAGTCCTTTGTAGTTTATTGTAGGTAATCTCGCTTTCGTTTGCTTGTTTTTAACTAGCCTAACTGGCTTTTGTCTTTATGTCATGAAATTTTACTGTAATCTCTCTGGGTGTGGGGTTTTGCTTAGCTTTTATTTGTAGTCCAAGCAGTCATTTTCTTCAGTCCTGAGAAACTGTTGGCTATTTATTCCAACATCCCTTACTCTTTCCCTCTGCAGTTCTTGTTAGACTGACATTAGCATTTTGGATCTGTTTTCCATTATTTTAAAATTCTTTGTGCTACTTTATTATATTTTTTAATTAAAAAAAGTTTTTTCCAGTCACATTACTCACACTTTGTGGTATTTTCTAAGCACATTTTTCATCCTAATGTTCCAGTTCACTAATTTGTTTTCCGTTGTATCTATTCTGCTATTCATTCCTTCTCAGAAGTTTTGTTTCACCAATTATATTATTCATTTCCTGGATTGCTAATCGTTTGTTTTTGTTTTTTTATAATCCCCTGTTCGTGTCTCAAGCATACTAATACTCTCCCTTTCTCTCTGAGGATATTACAGCTTAAGTCCTCTACCTATTGTGTTAACTCTGTTTCCTCAGAGTAGATGAGCTTCCAACCTTTCTCAGCTGGCACCTAAATTAATTTTTAAATTCCCTTGTCCCCCAATAAAGACTCCAATTCAGTAGATGTGAGATAGAGAGAGGGAATTTAGAAGTATCTCAGGTGATTCTGAAGGGTGGGCCACAGAGGATATGCTGGCATACCCTGTCTACATGTTTTCTTCAGTATCAGAAAATACAGTTTCTAATGTTTTAGTTTACTAAGTGTCCAGGGCTCAGAGGCCCAGAGGCCCCCTCAGTCTTGTGGTCCTCTTTCTTCCTTTTTCACTTGGTCTCCATTCCAATCTCATTCTGTGTGGGTCTACAGCCCTTCCACACTTGCTATCTTTATTTTCTATTTCTTCCTACTGCCAAATTAGAGATTCCTCACTTCACTTTACCTCTGTGGGACAATCAGTAAATCATATGGGCTACCAAAGAGAAATAAAAGCATATCCACACAAAAATTTGTACTCCTGGGAAGCTGCGTGTGTGTGTGTTTTAAAAATGTACATCAGTGTTTACAGCAGCATTATTCATAATGGCCCCAAACTGGAAACAAATGTCCATAAACTGATGAATGAATTGGAAAACATGCTATTTCTGTACAAAATATTTATACAATATACTTGGCTATAAAAAGGAATGAAGTACTGATACACAATACAACATGGATGAACCTTAGAAACATTAAGTGAAAAGAGCCAGACACAAAGGACCACATATTTTATGATTTCATTTATAAGAAATGTCCAGAATAGGTAAGTCTACTGAGACAGAAAGTAGATGAATGATTTTCAGGAGTTTGGAGTAGTGAGGTGAGGGGTGTTGGATGGGAATTGTAATGGGTAACTGCTAATGGGTACAGGATTTCTTTCTGGGTTGGTTAAAATATTCTAAAATTAGATTGTGGTGATAGTGGCACAACTCTGTGAATATACTAGAAAACATCAAATTATATGTTTTTAAAGGGTAAATTTTGTGGTATGTGAATTATATATTAATAAAGCTATAATAATAAATACATCTTAAAAGAGATCATCTGGGCAAAATTATTTATTTCCCCAGGACCCTACATTAGATGATGGAAATGCCAAGTAATCATCATATGCTTGTGACCCTGTGAAGTGAGTCCATTTCGATAGTGTTTAAAGCACATTGGTTATAGGTGTTATGACACAAGAATATTTACATTTTGCTGGATGTGGTGGCTCACATCTGCAACCCCAGCACTTTGGGAGGCTGAGGCGGGAGGATCACTTGAGCCCAGGAGTTTGAGACTGGCCCCGGCAACATAGTGAAAATTTGCCTCTACCAAAAAAAAAAAAAAAGTCAACTTATGTCATTCTTCTTAAATCTTTTAAAACAGCTTCAGAAGTGTATAAGATCAGCTTTATCTTTCCAAATGGAGACAAGTATGGTAAGCATACACTTCAGTTACTTTTTCTGTACAGAAAATTAAATAGCTTAAGAATAAAAAAATGAGACTGTTAAATTTTATAAAACTACTATTGGAATATTAACTTTATTAACCAAAATAACAGAAATCCTAATAGGTAACAGATTTTAAAATTAAAACTTCAATGTTAATTCTAGACGATATGCCTTGGAAACCTATGGGATCTGTCAGTCTTCCTGGCCCTTGAGTCTCAGTTGTTACAAAATGTTCTACATTCACGAATTTACTTATCTCTGGTCTCACTGGTTTTAGGGCTAGGGAGCTGAAAAAACCCAGGAGATGTAGTTGCAATTAGGCCTAGACAGAACTATTCTCATTTATAATCTTCAGTATTTCTCCCTTGTTTAGATGGTGACTGTACAAGAACATCTTCTGGAACCTATGAGAGAAATGGAATAGGTATTCATACCACTCCTAATGGGATTGTCTACACGGGAAGCTGGAAAGATGACAAGGTATTGTTGTTTTTAATACTGGCAGTGGATAAATAACTCTGTGGGTTAAATGATTCCAGGCATTTCACCATTAATCAAAAACTCCTATAGTGAATAGACTATATAATAAAAATAACAAATGATCATATTAACATCTATTAACTTATGAGTAATATTAAACTCATTGCAGCAAGCTAATCATTATTATTATCTTTTGCATCTCCTATTCACTGAATAAAGCTGAATCCATTACATAATTTTCTCATTTAATCCTTATAACAACCACATGAGATAGGTACCATTAATACTCCTATTTTACAAGTGAGGAAAATCAGGCTCAGGTTTTTTGTCCAGCTAGTAAATGATAAAACAGGAAAGTAAACCCAGGTCTGCTTTAATCCAAATTTGAATTCTTTTTTTTTTTTAAGACAATTTTATTTCTTTTCTTTTCCTTCTTCCCTCCCTTCCTCCCTTCCTCCCTCCCTCCTTTCTTCCTTCCTTCTTTCCTTCCTTCCTTTCTTCCTTTCTTCTTTTTTGATAAAGTCTTGCTCTGTCTCCCAGGCTGGAGTGCAGTGGCGTGATCTCCGCTCACTGCAACCTCCGCCTCCCAGGTTCAAGTGATTCTCCTGCCTCAGCCTCCTGAGTAGCTGGGACTACAATCGTGTGCCACCACACTCAGCTAATCTTTTGTATTTTTAGTAGAGATGGGATTTCACCATGTTGGCCAGGATGGTCTCAATCTCCTGCCTGACCTTGTGATTGCCCGCCTTGGCCTCCCAAAGTGCTGGGATTACAGGTGTGAGTCACTGTGGCTGGCCAAATTTGAATTCTTAACAACTACTTTTTACTGGTTTCCTAAACTAACTAAACTGGTTGCCCTTTAAGATTTCTGATACATTTAGGGTATCCTGATGACCCCTATTATTTTCATCATGGACCCCCTGATGTTCAAATGTCCCAGACCCAGAACATTTGATTTAGTGGGCTTCACAGATAGATACAGGTGAAGGAAAATGATAAAAATGTTGTCTTAATACTATCGAAGTAAAGGATGATATAGTTGATTAAGTAATAATTAGCAAGTGATAGACTTATATTTGTACATTTTTGAAAGGTTCTCAGGAAACTGAAGATTAGTTTCTAAGGTAATTATCTTTGTTACAAACAGATGAATGGTTTTGGAAAACTTGAGCATTTTTCAGGAGCAGTATATGAAGGACAATTTAAGGATAACATGTTTCATGGCGTGGGGACTTACACATTCCCAACTGGGGCAAAATATGTTGGAAATTTCAATGAAAACAGGTAAGGTTAAATTTTTAAAAAATCACTGTAACTCTAAAAAATTATTTTCTGGTATGTTTGCTTAAATATTGATTGATTGATTGATTGAGACAGTCTTGATCTGTCATCCAGGCTGGAGTGCAGTGGAGTGATCTCGGCTCACTGCAACCTCTGCCTCCCAGGTTCAAGTGATTCTCCTGCCTCAGCCCCCCAAGTAGCTGGAACCACAGACATGCACCAGCACACTTGGCTACTTTTTGTATTTTTAGTAGAGACAGAGTTTCACCATGTTGGCCAGGCTGGTCTGGAACTTCTAACCTCAAGTGACCCACCGGCCTCAACCTCCCAAAATGCTGAGATTACAGGCATGAGCCACCATGCCCAGCTGCTTAAATACTATAGTTAATTCTAAATATTTTTTATAATGTATCTAGTTTCTAAAAATCGTTGGAGGCCGGATATGGTGGCATGGCACCTCAAAAATCATTGATGGTCAAGAAATATTTGTTGAATAACTAAAGCAATTAAACTAGATAACCAATGTAAACGTTTCATTTTTTAAAAACTCATTGTTTTGGTTTTGTATGAATTTAAATTATGTGATCCTAAAATTATGGACACCAAATAATTGTGTTTGTTTGGAATAGTATGTGGTTTTTTTTTTTTTTTGTAGGTTATTAAAGCAGGATGCTGGGTTTAAAAGCAAAGCTTGAAAGTAGAAAGATATAATGCTTCAGATTTAGTATACATTATGCTAGACAATCTTATATCTGGACTATAAATTATTCATCTTGGTTAATGAAAAACTTATTTTTTACTATTGCAGGGTGGAAGGTGAAGGGGAATATACTGATATCCAAGGACTAGAATGGAGTGGTAACTTTCATTTTACAGCTGCTCCAGACCTGAAATTAAAGCTTCACATGTAGATGTTCTTCACATGTAGATATAATGTTACATTAAAGTTTAAATGTAGTATTTGAAGCTTTCAGTTGTAAGGAAAGCAACTAAATCTGCTCTTGGAAGTGACTTCATACACTACCCCTATAAATTTGCCAATAAAACCATCATTTACACCTTTTTGAACTTCATTTTCATTGTTTTATAATTAGTTTAAAATAAATTAGGTGATTCAATTCAGTCTGCTTATTATAATAACTATGACAGAACCATCCAAATCTTGGCAAAGTTGATTTCCAATCCTCTGAGTTTTGTCATCTTTTCTTTTTTCTAGTTTGTGCTGTGTATCCCAGTTGATATCCACCCTCTTTAAAAAATTTTTTTAGGCTATAATACATTTTATTTGTTTATTATTTTTTAACTTTTATTTTAGGTCCAGGCATACATGTGCAGGTTTGTTATACAGGTGAACTCATGTAACAGGGCTTTGTTGTACAGATTATTTTGTCTCCCAGGCACTAAGCATAGTACCCAATAGTTATTTTTTCTGATCCTCTCCCTCCTCCCGACCTCCACCCTCAAACAGCCCCCATGTCTGTTGTTCCTTTCTTTGTGTCCATGAATTCTCATCATTTAGTTCCCACTTACAAGTGAGAACATGTGGTTTTTGGTTTTCTGTTCCTGTGATAGTTTGCTAAAGCTAATGAACACAATTTTAAGTGTACAATACATTATTGTTGACTATAGGTACAGTGTTGTACAGCAGATCTCTAGAGCGTATCATCTTGCTTGACTGAAACTTTATGGCCTTTGTTTAGTTACCTCTTATTTTCTCATCACCCCAGCCCCTGGTAACCATTATTCTACTCTTTGATTCTATGAATTTGACTATCTTATTTTATTTTTTATTTTTTCGAGATGGAGTTTCACTCTTATTGCCCAGGCTGGAATGCAATGGCATGATCTCAGCTCACCACAATCTCCACCTCCTGGGTTCAAGCGATTCTACTGCCTCAACCTCCAAAGTAGCTGGGATTACAGGCACGTGCCACCATACCCAGCTAATTTTTGTATTTTTAGTAGAGGTGTGGTTTCACCATGTTGGCTGGACTGGTCTTGAACTCCTGATCCACCTGCCTTGGCCTCTCAAAGTGCTGAGATTATGGGTGTGAGCCACCCTGCCTGGCCGAATTTGACTATTTTAATACCTCATACTTTTAAGTGGACTCAGACAGTACTGGTCTTTCTGTGACTGGCTTATTTCCCTTAGAAAAATGTCCTCATGGTTCATCCATGTCACAAATTGCAGGATTTCTCTTTTAAGGCTGAATGATATTCCATTGTATGTATATATCACATTTTCTTTATTCATTGTGGTGGACATTTAGTTTGTTTCCACAGCTTGGCTATTATGAATAGTGCTGCAGTGAACATAGGAGTGCTAATATTTGAGACCTTGATTTCAGTTCTATTTTTTTTTTTTTTGAGACAGAGGAGTCTTACTCAGTTGCCTAGGCTGGAGTGCAATGGTGCAATCTTGGCTCACTAGAACCTCTACTTCCTAGTTTCAAGCGACTCTTGTGCCGCAGCTACCTGAGTAGCCAGGATTACAGGGTATGTCACCACACATGGCTAATTTTTTGGTATTTTCGGTAGATACAGGGTTTCACCATGTTGGCCAGGCTGGTCTTGAACTCTTTGCCTGCCTGGCCTCCGAAAGTGCTGGAATTACAAGCATGAGTCACCATACCCAGCTTCAATTCTTCTAGAAAAAACATCCAGAAGTAGGATTTCTGACTCATATTGCAGTTGTATTTATTTATTTTTGTTATTCATTATTCTTATTTTAATATGGACTGCTTCACAAATTATCAGGCCATCTTTGCGTAGGGACCACACTAATCTTCTCTGTATCATTCCAATTTTAGTATATGTTCTGCTGTAGTGAACATGGTAGTTCTATTTTTAATCCCTTGAGGAGCCTCCATAGCGTTTACGGTAGCAGCTGCATCATTTTGCATTCCCAGCAACAGTGGGCAAGTGTATGGACCAGTTCTTCCCACTTTCTTTCTATGCCCTTACTGAAAATCACAGAGTACCTTGACTGCTCTGTGACCCAGCTGGCTACAGGTTTTTCTCAGAGGCTTGAACCCAAACTGGGTGTTGAACATTCCCAGGCACTGAGAAAGGTATTTGGGTTGTTGCTCAAAGCACTGATACTGGCCCCCATCCCTGAGCCAAATTTCTCAAACTGTCTTAGAATCTCCAGACTCTGAGCCGCTTGCTGTAGACATAACTGGGCAAACACCCTTTTCTCTCTCAGTGATTATTGCAGCACTCAGTAAGGAAGTTTTCCTAATACATTCTTTGGACCGATCACCCTAGAGCTTAGAGTTTTTTTCCTTTGGTATCCCAGCCAGCCCTATTTTCCTTGTGGGAAATCCCCCTGTTACTGCTTTTGGGGTGATTCCAGCTGAGGATTTGAGGGTTTAGAGTGACAAATGAGCAAGGGTTCAATTTCTCCACCTCCTTAGCATTTGTTTTTTGTTTTTGATGATAGCCATTCTGACCAGTATAAAGTGGTATCTCATTGTGGTTTTGATTTTTATTTCTCCGATGATTAGTGACATTGAGCAGTTTTCCAAATACCTATTGACCATTTATATGTCTACTTTGGAGAAATGTCTATTCAGTTCCCAACGCATTTTAAAATCAGGTGATTAATTTTTTACCATTGATTTGTAAGAATTCCTTATATATTTTGCAGATTAAATCCTTATCTATGATTTGCAAATATTTTCACCCATTCTGTAGGTTGTTGCCTTTTCACTCTGTTGTTCCCTTTGCTGTACAGAAGATTTTAGTTTGATGTAGTCTTACTTGTTTATTTTTTGTTTTGTTGCCTGTGCTTTTAGTGTCATTTAGATTTCATTATCCATGAAATCATTGCCAAGATCTATGTCATGAGATTTTCCCATTTCCAACAACACATGGAAAGGGTCATATACCATGACCAAGTGAGATCTATCCTGGGATGCAAGGGTAGTTCAACATATGAAAATCAACTAATGTGATATATCACATTAACAGAATAAAGAATAAAAATCATATAATCAGCTCAACAGATGCAGAAAAAGCATTTAACAAAATTCAGCACCTTTTCATTATTTAAAAAAAACTTGACAAATTAGGAACAGAAAGAAATTACCTAAACATAACAGAGGTCATATATAAAAAGCTCACAGCTAACATCATACTCAATGGTGAAAAACTAAAAAGCTTTTACTCTCAGATGGGACACAAGGCAAGGATGCCAACTCTTGTCACTTCTATCATTAAAATAGTATATCTCTATATTAAAGGAGACTATCAAGAAAATGAAAATACCATCCACACAAAGGGAGAAAATACTTGCAATCATATCCGATTGTCAGAAATTTGCTTAATATAGTTGCTGCCTCAGTGCCCATTTTTAGGCCTGATATAAGTTATCTGAAACCCATTCATATCCCATTACTCTTGGCCTAGTTAAAACTTTCTTTCCCCTTGTAGTTGTTTGCAATACAGCTCACTTGTTCCTCCCCCTGCTGACCCAAAACCCAACACACCCCACAGGTGCTGACCATGATAAAACCTCAAAGTCAACATAAGTCATGCAAAAACAACTTTCCCCTTTCCACATGTTTCCTTTAAACTAGTCAATCCACAACCCCAGAGGGAAAGCCTAAGGGATAACATCCATGGACCTTAATAAAGGTGTAGTCCTGTGGTCCTCCCTCTCACCCCAAACTCACTGGTTGAGCTCCCTGCTACCTCCAGACTTCCAGAAACCATAGCAATAAAAATTATGACATTGATAAAAGTCTAATTTCCAGAATTTAGAAAGAACTTTTACAACCCAACAATAAAAAAGAAATCAATTTTAAAAATGGGCAAAGAGGCCAGGCACGGTGGCTCATGTCTGTAATCCCAGCACTTTGGGAGGACTAGGTGGGCGGATCACCTGAGGTTGGGAGTTTGAGACCAGCCTGGCCAACATGGCAAAACCCTGTCTCTACTAAAAATACAAAAAGCTGGGCGTGACGGTGGGCACCTGTAATCCCAGGTGCTCAGGAGGCTGAGTCAGGAGAATCACTTGAACCTGGGAGGTTGCAGAGGTTACAGTGAGCCAAGATCATGCCATTGCACTCCAGCCTGGACAACAGAGTGAGACTTCATCTCAAAAAAAAAAAAAAAAAAAAAAGGGCAAAGAATTTGAATAGATGTTTCTCTGAAGAAGATATACAAACGCTCAATAAGTAAACAAAAAGTTGCTCAACATCCTTACTCTTAGGGGAAGTGCACTTTAAACCCACAAATCTACCATGAGATACCACTTCACACCAACTGGGATGGCTATTTTATTTTATTTTATTTTAAGTTCTGAGGTACATGTGCAGGATGTGTAGGTTTATTACATAGGTAAATGTGTGTTATGATTGTTTGCTGCACTTATCAACCTGTCACCTAGGTATTAAGCCCAGCAAGCATTAGCTATTTTTTCCTGATGCTCTCCCTTCTCCCACTCACCCAACAGGCCCCAATGTGTGTTGTTCCCCTCCCTGTGTCCATGTGTTCTCATTGTTCAGCTCCCACTTATAAGTGAGAACATGCATTGTTTGGTGGGATGGCTATATTTTTTTTAAAAAAGACAATACAAAGATTGGCAATAATATGGGGAAATTGGAACCCTCACACATTTCCAGTGGGAATATAAAATGGTGCAGCTGCTGTGGAATATAGTTCCTCAAAATATTAGACATACCTGACTCAGCAGTTCCTAGGTATGTACCCAAGGGAATCGACTTGTACACAAATGTTCATAGCAACATTATTCATTGCTGGAGTCTGAATGTGTCGCTCCAAAATTTATGTTTATAGCTAATCTCATACCTATAATCCCAGCACTTTGGGAGGCCAAGGTGGGCGAATCATTGAGGTCAGGAGTTTGAGACCAGCCTGGCCAACATGGTGAAACCCTTTCTTTACTAAAAATACAAAAATTACCAGGCGTGGTGGTATGCGCATGTAATCCCATCTGCTCAGGAGACTGAGGTGCAAGAATCGCTTGAAACTGGGAGGCAGAGGCTGAAGTGAGCCAAGATGGTGCTACTGCACTCCAGTAGGGACAGCAGAGCCAGACTCTGTCTACAAAAACTAAAACTAAAACAAAAACACAAATACACGCAAAAACAACAACAATTAAAAGCTAATCTCTACTCTGATAGTATTAAAGTTGAGGCCTTTAGGAGGTGATTAGGTTATGAGGACAGAGCCCTCATGGATGGGATGATTGCCCTTATGAAAGAGATGTGAAGGAGATTGCTTGCTGCTTCTATCACAAGAGAATACTGCAAGAAGGTGCCATTTTTGAAGAAGAGAGCAAGCCCTTACCAGACACTGAATCTGCTGGTGCCTTGATCCTGGACTTAACCACCTCCAGAACTGTGAGCAATACATTTCTGTTGTTTACAAATTACCCTAAAGTGTTTTGTTACAGCAGTTCAAATGGACTAAGACATTTATAATAGCTCCAACTGGAAACAGTCCAACTCTCCATCAACTGATGAATATATAAACAAAATGTACACATAATGGAATATTAGTCAGCCATAAAAAATATGAAGTACTTATACTACAACATGGATGAACTTCAAAAACATTGTACTGGCCAGGTGGGGTGGCTAATCCTGTAATCCCAGCACTTTGGGAGGCGAAGGTGTATGGATCGCTTGAGTCCAGGAGTTTGAGACCAGCCTGGGCAACATGGCAAAATCCCATCTCTACAAAAAATACAAAAATTAGCCAGATGGGGTAGCACATGCCTGTAGTCCCAGCTACTTGGGAGGACTGCTTGAGCCCAGGATGCAGAGGTTGCAGTGAACCAAGATCAGGCCACTGCACGCCAGGTTGGGTGATGGAGCCAAACTTCATCTCAAAAACAACAAACAGACAACATTGTACTAAGTAAAAGGAGCCAGTCACCAAAGGCCACATATTGTATGATTCCATTTACGTGAAATGCTCTGAATAGGCAAATCCTTAGGGACAGAAAATAGATTAGTGGTTGCCAGGGGAGGAAGGAATTGGGAGGCATGAGGTTTCTAGAATTAGACAGTGATGATGGTTGCACAGTTTTGAAAATATACTAAAAACCACTGAATTGTTCACTTTACAAAAGCAAATTTTATGTATGGTATATAAATTATGTCTCAATTTCTTAAAAAGTAGATCTTTGTGTTGTCATATAGTCTATATCCAGAAAACCTCTTTACTTTTTGCATGAAATAATTTAAAAATTATGTCAGCTACATTTTAAAAATTACAATAAAGCCCTGAATGTTTTTCTGAAACTCTATTATTCTAAAACTGACAAAAAAATACTGTATGCAATAGATAACTTCTTTGTCATATTTCTCTATTCAAAATATTGTGAATATTTGTATTTCTCAACATATTATAGCCAAAAAATGTATATCTATTTTTTGCTGTACTGGCACAAATTTGGGTTGCACCGTCTTCTAAAATGTTAAAATAAAAATGGTATTTTTGTTGGTTTCTCATAATAATAGCTTTATGTTTAATTTCAAAAGACCCTATTTATAAGTGTTCAAAGATACATTTTAAGAATTGGACATTTTTTTAATGGGTTGCTTAACATTAGCTGGCATGGCTTTAGAATTAAATATTATTATGTGGAAATTTGTAAAGAGATAAATACTGGACAAGTTAAGATAAGGTGAGAAAATGTTTTCAGGGACCAGGACATATAATTCTAATTCAAAACCTTCTAGAAAATACTTTATAGAAAAGTATTTGCTTTGCTGCAAACTACATTTTCCTATTTTTTTTTTTCAATTTATTTAAGGTAGCAAGATATATATTTTACTCTTAAAATATTTAACTTTTATTGCTATGTTAATCACTTTTCAATGTACAATTTTTCAATTTTCTAATATACCAAAGATATTCCTCTTAAATGGGTTTCTTCCTTTTACTCATTGAAACTAAATGCAGCTCAGTTATTTGATTAGTTGATGCTAGAATTTGACCTGGAGCTTATATAATTAGAAGAGACACTAGTTTTCCTCATTTAAAAGCCTGGTTAGCATACTACGGTCTCGTTTCAGGGGAAGTCAAACCTCTCTACTGCTTCTTTTTATAACCTCTAAGTTAATTCAGAACCCAGATAAGCCTTGATCTGAGGATGTTATAACCACCACAAGCAACATGGGGTAAGTATGTGCTTTAATATGCTTTAAGGGGCACTGAAAGGGGAAATAATTTTATAAGAGATGAAAACCCATCAATCCTTACCATATGGTGTATCAATTTAAATTCAATATATGCTAACATTTATTTAAGGTAGCCATTCAAAGAAATAACTTTTATTTAAAAGGTATAACAATTTGCAAAACATTCATTTATTTCCTTGCTTAATTTTTATATGATGTCTTAACTGCCTTTGCAGGTTGTCAATAAACTGGAGACAGAAGTTGTTCTGCATATTAATAAATATAATTGAAACTGAGTTAAATTTTGAGAGCAGTCTTAAAGAAAGGATGCTAGGCAGCATAAATCCAGCATGGACATGCCTCTTTGGGATTAAGAATAATGAAAGAATGAAAAAGATTAGGGATGGAAGGAGATTGGTTTATTCCTTTCTAACAGAAAAAAGACAGAAAAATCTTCAGCATTCACCCCTCTATGTACAGAACAAAAAACACATCCTGATTGAAAATGTATGCTGATTAATTACATGGGGACTTTATTGGTGAAACCTAATTCTAGACACTTCATGGGGCTTTGGTGTGTAAAGAACTGAGCTTCACTTGACACTGTCTTTACTTAGGTGAGAACAGCATTCTATTATAATTAGTATTGGAATTATGTGAGTTTTTATATGCTGAAATAGTGTTCTGAATATGTAGAAATCTGTCTTTATACCATCCTTTTATATTTTTTAATAGCCCCTTTTAATACAAAATCATATTGCTGTAAATGGTATAACTATTTCACTGAAGTCACTTCTGAAGGATTCAACGCAATAATCAGAAATTTATACTAGAGAAAAAAGTTTTTGATGCATATTTATTCTAAACATTTTTCACAAACCTAATTAATTAATGTCTATGATTTTCATACCATGGGCTCTGAAAATGCAATCTAAGCTCATTTGAAAACGCAGAGGCTTTTCAAAGAAGATAATCATATTATTAGTTTTTTTTTCTTTTTTCTTTTCTTTTTTTCGACAAGGTCTCACTTTGCCACCTGGGCTGAAGCAATTCTCCGGCCTCAGCCCCTCAGGTAGCTGAGACCACAGGCACTAACCACCACGGCTAGCTGATTTTTGTATTTTTTTGTAGAAATGGGGTTTCCATTATGTTGCCCAGGTTGGTCTTGAACTCCTGATCTCAAACAGTCCTCCCACTTGGGCCTCCCAAAATGCTGGGATTACAGGCGTGAGCCACCATGCTGGCCTTACTGTTAACTTTTTCTTTATTCCCTTTATTTACCTTCCCTTTTCTCTGTGTATAAGGGTGTACTTCAACATAGCAGACCAGCAATAAACCAAGCAATGTGGATACAAAGATCAACTGATCTTCCTCCTCCTCTTCCTCTCCTTTTTTCCCTTCCTCTCTCCCTTTCCCTTCCTTCCTTTTTCTTTAATGATAGCAGTTCTTAACCCTTTTTGGTGTCAAGAATTGCTTTCAGAATCTTCAGAAACCAGTTCACCATTTCTGCAAAAAAAAAAGTAAAATCACACAAAATTTTGTATACAATTGTAGGAGATTTACAGGTGACGTGAAACCATATTCCCAGGACCACAGGTTAAGACCCTTAGATTTTGATTATAGGACTAGAGTATGATTTGTTCAATATTTCTCTTTGTTTGGATTTTTATAAAATGTAAGAATCTTTAAGTTCATAATTCTTGCTAATCTTCTCAAGGACAGTGTGGAAGATTCTCCCCCCACCCCATACACACCCACACAATTTACATGAATGTGAAAGTGTTTAACCAATACGCATCACATTACTGCTGATGGGCCCCAAGGACTTGACTAATCACTTGTGCCTTTCCAGAGTGCTAGGAATCACCTTGGGAGCCATGGAAGGAAAAAAACCCTTATTATGTTATTTGTAAAGCACTTTGAATGCCCTGAATAAGATGAACGAAACAAATCTTAATATTACAGACAGCACTCTTCTGATTGGTATGTTCATGATTATTTTGTTGTCTGTTCCTACCTTTATTGACAAAAAGACAGGGTAGTAGGAATTAACATTTGTTTAAGTCTTCCTAAAATAACCGGGAAAATAAAGAGAAAGCAGCAGCTAACTGGATTCTCAAATGTATCCATTTGAAGAAATCTCTAGAATTTATTTCCTGAGAATGAGGGAATTGCTGTTTTGGATTTGTCTTTGGGGCCTACTTATCTCAAACAATTTGAGGATATAATTCTCGTCTATGGGGCAATGTCAGCCCTTTCCACTTTTCTTTTTTTTTTTTTTCCACTTTTCTTCAGGCTATGCTGTCATGGTTTTAGCAAGCAACGAAGAGGCAAATACTGGAAAATTCTTATGCTCCCTAAAAAATATCCTCTTCTTAAATTTTCATTGGATTTCTTATGGAGTGTGTGGGTAGGTGGGGTGGGTAGAGATGATGCCTAAGAGATGATGCCTAAAGGTGGGTAAAGAAATAACTGGGGAAAAGTGGAATAACCTAACTGACATCTGCTGTTTTCCATAACACCTGGGCAAAGGATGAGCAATGGGAAAGAAAGGATGGTTGTATTTCTTTTCTGAGATGCTTTTTAATGTGCTTTCCCATCTCCTAGCAGAATTAATCAGTGCAAGCCTAACTGACATATGGGAAAAACAAAAGTGAAGGCTTTGCTAAAATTGTAGAACCAACAAGTTCATTATTACATCATAGTCTCCTTTTAGTCTCCCGATTCAGTTAAGTTTAGAGTAATTGAAAAATTATCTTATGGATATATTTTCTCCTTCTGAACCATCCAACTGTTTTTCTTGGGCAAAGCATACATTGGGCTCATGGAGCACTCTTTGAAATGTTGCTTCTATCTGTGCCCTCTTTTCTAAGAGCCACTTCCTTAATTCAGGTCATCGTTACCTTTTACTTGGGTTATTAAAGGTGCCTGCTCACTGGCCTCTTTGCAGCTGCTCTTTCCTCTACAGAACCACAAAGTCATTTCTTTCCAGAGATACATGATCTTGTTACACTTCTGCTATATCTCTGCTTGAACATTTTCAACAACTCATACTCTTCACTGCAAAGCAAGCTCCAAAGAAAAGATTTAAGACCCTCTATCTGTCCCCAGTGTACCTGTCTAGGCCCACCTTCTGCTCTACGTTCTATGCTCCCTAGGATTCCTAAATCCACCTGGGCCTTGTGCTTCGTTCCTCTTATAATCCTTTTTTCGCTTTTCTTTTTTTTTTTTTGATACAGGGTCTCACCTTGTCACCAAGGCCACAGTGCAGTGGTGCAGTCTCGGCTCACTGCAACCTCTGTCTTCTGAGTTCAAGCGATTCTCCTGCCTCAGCCTTCTGAGTAGCTGGAATTACAGGCACCCACCAACATGGCCTAATTTTTGTATTTTTAGTAGAGATAGAGTTTCATCATGTTGGCCAGGCTGGTCTCAAACTCCTGACCTCAAGCAATTCACCTGCCTCAGCCTTCCAGAGTGCTGGAATTACAGATGTGAGCCACTGTGCCTGGCCCCTCTGGTGATCCCCTTTTGACTATTTCTATGTATTGTGCAAAGCCTGGCTCAAATCCTATCTTCTTAATGATGCTTTCTCCAATTCCCACAAGGGAATTCATCTTTTCTCTGAAAAGTTTAGGCACTTTACACTTTTTTTATTTCATTTGTCACAATCCCTCATATGTTACCATTATTTGTGTGTCTCATCTTCCCTACTAGACTGGAAGCAGAAGCAATGGCATCCTTGCATTTCTCCCAGCACCTGGTACATGCCTTTAATATGGTATATGCTTATTAAATACTTGCTGAATGCACATGAACTCTGTTTTTCCTATACTCCACAAAAACCCCTAAAAACCTAATTTTAGCCAAACTCTCCTTCTTTCTTCTGCAATTGAGTTGCCTCATTTTCCAGGTTTTTATCTGAGGAGCTCAAAGGAGTGAGTAGTCCCTGAGATGAAGGCAATTCAAGGGAGAAAGGGTACAAACAAGGACTAGAGTGACACACTAGAGGCTTCTGAAGACTTTGTTGTTAATAAGCAGAACGCACACATAGGCTCCAAGGAAATGTGAAAAACTTTCCAGAATTAAAAATCGTTCTTGCTGGGTGTGGTGGCTCACACCTGTGATCCCAACACTTTAGCAGGCCAAGACACTTGGATCACTTGAGCCCAAGAGTTTGAGACAAGCCTGGGAAACATGGCAAAACACCATCTCTACCAAAAAATAAAAATAATTAGCCAGGCATGGTGGCATGCACCTGTAATTCCAGCTACTCAGAGACTGAGGCAGGAGGATTGCTTGAGCCCACGAGGTTGAGGCTGCAGTGAGCCACAATCACATCACTGCACTCCAGCCTAGGGTTCAGAGAGAAAACCTTTCTTTTAAAGAAAAAAAAAAGTTGTTTTTAGGCTCTGGATAGCTTCCTAGAAGACCAGCATATCAGGAAGGATTGGGTTCATCTGTATATGCTGGGAAAAACAAACAAACAAAAAAAAACCCAGAATAATAGGGGCTTAAACAAGCTAGAAGTATATTTCTCTCTTATATAAATAAAAACAAATACAAAACAAAATGAAAAACCCCACAAAGGTAGGCAGTCTAGAGCTGTTAGGTGAGTTCTTTGGTGTGAGGTACTGAGATTCCTCTCATCTTGTTCTTCTGCTGTTGTTAATGTATCACATTTTGGTCCGAGAAGGTTGCTAGGTCCTCATCGATCTCACTGATTTCTAGGTCTCTACTGATCTCACTGGTGTTCAGCCAGCAGAAATGAGGAATGGGGAAAAAAAGGTGTGTTTTCTATTTTAGGAGACTTCCCAGAGGTCATTCAGTGTTTCTAGTTGTATTGCATGGGTAGAAATCTAGTCTTGTGGTTACACTTAGCTGTGAGAGAGAAGGGAAATACAATCTTTTAAATGGGTTTCCAAAACAAAAGAGGAGAATGAATACTGGGAAGCAACTAGCAGTGTCTGACAGAGCCAGTATCAGGCCTTACATGGCTTTTTATATTCCTTTAGACAAAATACAGCATTATGTACAAAAGTAATCTTTTAAGAAAATAATTGGTAAAGTTAAAGGAAAAAAAAAAAAGAGCAAGCCAAGCTGGGAATAAACAGGTTTACCTAGGATAAAGGCCCCTTGATAAAAGGACAAAAGGTGACTAAGTAAGGCTTTTCCCCTCCCCAGACTCCTACATCTCATTCTCCCTTCCTCCAGTCTTCATGTCCCCTAATCCTCACATCCATACCGTGAGGCAAGTATTGCTATTACTAGGCCAATCATACAGGTGAGGAAACTGAAGTCCAGGAAGATTCAGTGGACTTCTGCCTGTACTGCAGCAAAAATTGTGTAAATCACAGAATGTTTTCTAATGAGATTTGTTCTTAATTTTGACTATAGATCACTGTAATTAGTCTCTAAAGAAAAACCTATTATAAACATATTTCATTTGTCACTGGAAGTCAATGATTTAATGTGGAATATTAGAAAGACTCTAGATTTGTGGCTTTCAATATTTTAGGGTCAATCAACTGCTTTGAACTCTTCTGATTCAGCAAAGCCCTCTAAGCCATGTTGGAGTTCTCCAGCTGTTTTTAAGTACATAGAAATGTATTTTTATTAGTCAACCCAAACATATGAATGCTGAGGTGATTGTACTTACTCAATACTAAGTGACTTGAAAATTAAAAGACTAGAATAAACAAGGACTTTTACTTTTGTACTTTATATGGTTTTGACCTATTAGAAAATTTTAACAACAGTGAATTGCTTGTATAATAAAACTTTTAATTACAAAATTATAGGAAAAATGATGGCATAAAATGCAAGGTAGCTATCATTATCAATGGCATTTTGTTTTTTACAGAACTTCTAGAGAAATCAGGAAGAAGACTTCAAAAAAAATGATATGATGTCTCCCAGTGGAGACAGGGCACGAGGTGAGTGAAAATTGCAAAGAACTGGTTTCTAATAAGAACACGGGCAAACTGAGAGCTTAGATTAAACCAGTGATCATTCTTGAAGCAGAAGTATGATAAATTTCTTTGAAGAATTTTATAACCCTTCTTGGCTTGAAAATCATCAAATAAGCAAATTGTGAGATTACTTAATTAGCTAGCAGTAAGGGGAAATAGCCACCTTCTGAACAGGCCACATTATGTCAGACTTGACTGCGTACATGAGTGCTTGCTGACAGCATTGAGACAAGAATGAACTATGTTGGGGTTTTTTTGTTTGTTTGTTTTTGTTTTTGAAGTGGAGTCTCATCCTGTCGCCTAGGCTGGAGTGCAGTGGCATGATTTCGGTTCACTGCAACCTCCGTCTCCCAGGTTAAAGCAATCCTCCTGCCGCAGCCTCTCAAGTAGCTGAGATTACAGGCACACACTACCATGCCCAGCTATTTTTTGTATTTTTATAGAGATGAGGTTTCACAATGTTGGCCATGCTAGTCTCAAACTCCTGACCTCAAGTGATCCGCCTGCCTCAGCCTCTGAAAGTGCTGGGATTATAGGTGTGAGCCATCACATTCAGCCATACTATGTTTTAATTAAGTTCTATTTTGGATATCTTTGGTGATTGCAAAAAACTTTAAGAAAGACAACATTTACTTTCCATTGAAGCGACAGATTCTGAGTCCCTAGTGCATACTGGGATTTTTCACTTAATAAGAATGTGGACTAGTAACTATTATGCCTACTTGACAGTTGAGGGAGCATAGGCTTAGGAAGATTAACTTTCCCAGGTCACAAAATGAAATAAGTAGCAGAGCTAGGATTGGAAGCTAGATGTCTGACACACTCACGAAAAAAGTCTCATAATTTAAAACATTATTTTTAAACTTCAAAACCCAATAGTGCTCATTGTAAAGTAAAATGCAAACATGATTATGACAGAAGAGTTTAAGTAAGATTTAAAAGCCCATCCTACCCCAAACCCCATCCCTCTTTCCAGTGTTACTAGTTTAGTATAAATCCTTCCATATCTTTCTTTTTGCCCAGTGTACTTTCCATACTACACTCAGCAAAAAGAAAGATATGGAAGGATTTTCACAGTATCACACTTGAATGTATGAAAAGTATCCATATTTTTCACAGTATCATACTTCCTATTTACTTAAATTAAAAAACAGAGGAGATTGAGTTTACTATATATCTTTACTGGAATAAGCATCTACCTCTAAACAATAACTGAAATGCTCATTCAGCTAACATCAGGCATCTATCTGTAGAGATTCAAAGAATAATAGAATTCACTCGCTGTCTCCCAAGGACTCATAATCTAATGCGGTGGTTTCTAAGTTTATTTTTGAGAGTGTAATTATAGACTCCTTTGAGACTGATGTGAGCTCTGAACTCTTTCCTGAGAAGAAAATGAACCTATAAAATTTTGCGTATAATTTAGAGGATTCCTGGAAACCTTGAGAGTATTGGACCCCAATCTTGTAGAAGTGAGACTTTTAAATTTATAGTTTGATAGAAATGCTATAATGGAAGTGTAGATAAGATGCGACCACAGCACAGACAAACAGGGTTTAACTCTCCTGGGACATATCAAGAAAGACAGGGAAGAATGGCATTTGCACAAAATATTGAAGGGCACTAGGAGTTTGACAGCTAGCCTGGTGCAAGGGAAGAATGTCCACTGAGGGAATAGCCCCAGAGGCTAGAATGGATGGGGAAACATGACTGTCTTCATGATAGGAGCCCAGTGTGTGTATGGGGGTGATTAAAGATGAGTCTGCAGAGCTGGGCAGAAGCCAGAGCACAAAGGGGTTTTTCCTTTGGGTTAGGGTATTTGAACTTTAGGAGTCACTGAAGGATTTTGATAAAGACTTTCATAGGTGGCAAAAAGTCTATATTAGTGCATGGTTAAATAAATCATCATAGGAATAATAATTTGGATGATGGAATAAGATATAAAAAGTAGATAAGATCATTTGATTATGATTTTGGAGGGGATTATTGACTAAATGACATATTATTTAAAAGATATATTGCTAAAATCAAATAGAATTGATTGGAAAGCCATTGCTTTTATGAAGGAAGTTGGGAGAATAAAGTTCTGTATTTATAAGATAAAAAAGGGTGGCTGTCAAACACAAAATTTGGGCAGCACGTTGACTCCTTGGCTGCAGGAAGTCCCATGCACAGTCAAGCTAGTGTCAGTCACTCAAGGTGGGTCATTCACTCCTGATTCAGTCACTGTCATGCCCTCTGCTGTCTTCCGGGAGCTCCAGATGGGCCATGTGACTTCCCATTGACCCTTCCACCTACAATGAGCAGGAAAGAGAAAGAGGGTACAGTGGTTCAGGTTTTTAACATCTCTACATTAAGCATGTATTGCTTTTATGATTGAGATTTTTAAAGCAATGTAGTGTAAAGCAAGGCTTACAAATAACATCATAGCTGGTTTATTTCTATTTGGCTGTACTTTATCTAATATACTTAAAAAAAGGAAAATATTAGTCTTATGTCCTACTTCTTGGCAGTGGCTTCAAAAAGTCTCAAGGACATTTCACTTGATAAATACTTATTATTTATTATTCATTTAATTTTTTTACTTATCAGATACTGTAAAGATTTGGAAGAGTAAACTGCATATATTGCATATGCTACTTTATGTGTATAATGTATCTTATACAATTTTTTTTAAATACAAAGAATCATCTGGTCTTTGCCAAAGGGTAGTGCTCTGAAAGATTTCTCAGACATGTTTAAATAGTGAGCTTTAGGAAACCAAAATTTACAATTTAGGTGAAATAGCATTATTTTTCCAGCTTGCCTTTTCCAACTCATTAATTTTTTTAAATGGGTCTTCTTTGTATTAATATGAACAAATAAAGTTCTGTGGGGTTTTTTAGGAAAAGAAATAATTAATCATAAACATCTCCTGGAATTAAATTCAACTCAGACTTGGGTTGAGTGCCCACTGCAAGTAATCCCCATGTCAGAGGAATGTGAACAAATGATTTAAATGTAGTTATCTTTAAAACTCAAGCTAATTTTGCACTCACCTCTATAAAATATCTGAGAATTAAAAATATTTGATAATTTTTTAAATTGCTGAAAATTAAGTAAAATTGCTACTATAAAGAGTAAAATTGCTATTATGAGGAGATATGCCACGTTTATCCTGAGGCTTCAAGTTCAGCACTGTAGGATCATAATATTATGCTCAGAGAAATAAGCAAGGCGCCATACAGCAAATATGACATGAGCTCACTTATATATGGAATCTAAATAGTCAAACTTATAGAAGTGGAGAGTAGAACGAGGCTGGGGGTGGATGGGTGAGGGAGTGGAATGGAGACATGTTGGTCAAAGGGTACAAATTTCAGTAAGACAGGAGGAATACGTTTTTGAGATCGATTGCATAGCAGGCTGACTTTAGTTAACATATTGTATATTTCATAAATTTGAAATGTTCTCACCACAACAATGACAAGTATATGAGGTGACAGGTAGGCTAATTAGCTTGATTTACTCATTCTACATTGTATACTCCTATCATAACATTGCACTACACTTCCTAAATAAATACAATTATAATTTGTGAATTAAAAAAAGAAATTTTAAAAAGAATCATTACCTGCCATGGATATGAATAAGAAATAGTCAGCTGGGCACAGTGGGTCATGACTATAATCCTAGCACTTTGGAAAGCTGATGGGAGAGGATTGCTTGAGACCAAGGAGTTCAAGACCAGCCTGGGCAAGAAAGCGAGACCTCTACAAAAAATAATTTAAAATTAGTCTGGTATGGTGGCATGCACCTGTAGCCCCAGCTACTTGGGAGGCTGAGGTAGGAAGCTTGCTTGAGCCCAGGAGATCGAGGCTGCAGTGAGCTAGGATTATATACTTGCTCCAGCTGGGGCAACAGAACAAGATCCCATCTCTAAAATAAATAAGTAAATACATAGAGACTATTGCCTAAAATTCCTGGCAGGAAGAAACATTAATAATGTAGTCTGAGAATGTGGTAGAACAGGGATTGACTGATTATGACTTAGAAGATAGGGGCAAGCTTCATAGAGAAAGAGGTGCTTGAATTGAGCCCTGAAGGTAAAAAGTATTTCATTAGATAAAGAAAGATATTTGAGGGGCAGAGGATAGGAGGAACAAAGGCGCAGCAGCAGGAAAGTGTTTGGAGAAAGGCATGAACTGAGATCATCTACCCATGTATACACATATACTAACCACTATAAAGTTTTATTTGAATTACTCTGAAATAGAGAAACAAACCAAGTAAGATCAGCTAGTCCAGTCACAAGCTGTTACGAGTAGCGAAATCGTATCAACCAATGTCTAATTGGCTACAGGGACACATCTTGAGCTCCACCCAGACAACCTCTCAAGATTCTGATTAGAGGAGCAGTCCCACAGGACATGGGGAGGTAGTGATTTGCAGAGCCGATGAGCTGGAGTTAGTGAGTTGGGGTTTCTGAGATTTAAGATTAAGGTCCCACAGACAGAGCTGAGTCAAGATACCTCAGGCAGGCTAAAAATCTGGCACTTGCTTAAACAGATTTTCTTTCAATATCTCACACTTAAATGAGGAGAGGGTGATCTCTTCCTAGAGAAAGTGTGGAAGAGGAGGCCCCCAAGAGCAGTACTCAGTTCCTGTTCAGGATCAATAACAGTTCAGCTCTAGCCTGACAGTGGCTATACCACTCAGCAAAATGAAAATCCTGCAAGAAAACCAGACTCAGCCTTCTTTGAAGGCTGTTTGGTGACCATGTGTTGCTACTCAAGCCTGCATTTAGGATACCCCACTCTCAACCCAAACACACACACGTGCACACACACACACACACACCCCTACCAGAAGGAAGCATTCATTTCAATCACACAAGAGTCTTTCCTTAAGAGAACTCCTGATAAATTTAGTGTTCTCCTTCTCACATTTCCAGGGATGTTTTAGCACCTCTCATAGATTGGTGC